TTGCTGAAAACCTAATGCGTTTTGCATAAGAATTATAATCAGAAAAAGCCTCTTCCAATGAGTTATAACAACGTCCAATTAGCACATTATCTGTTCATCATAAAAAATTAAAAATTCATTACTAACCGTTCTAAAATTCATTACTAAATGTAAACTCATTAACCAATAAACAACCCTGCCAAAAAAAATTCATTAAAAACCCCAAATTACTCATCAGTAACTTTTTTATATTCATCAAATAAAACATAACCTGCAGTGCAAAATCCGTTGGACGCAGCAGTGAAACTCTATTCATCAAAACTTCACGTTACTCTACTCATAAACTACAATTACTCATCATGTATGGATAAATATTCATTAGATACAAAATATTACACATCATTGACTTCATGACATTCATCAATAAAATCATAACATGCGTTACTCAATTCATTAAAAACAATACGTTACTGGTACCCTATAAATATTCATCAGTTAATGATAAAAATGCATTACCAATCGCAGCAACAATCATTCAGAAAAAATAACATATACTAAATATGATCAATTACCTTCCATAGATTCAGAAACACGATCATCGAATTCAACCAAAGTTCTATCATCACTAAGAACAATTGATGAAGCAACATGATCAACATCATTGATTTCTTCAAGATCATTACACGAATTCAACTATCCTTCGCAGTCTGCAACATCTTCAATAACATTCGCAACACCTTCGCCATCATAATCACAACCCTCCTCACCGGAATTACTGTCAATTCTGACGTTTAAATCTAAACCTTCTATCGTTTTTAATTTTCTAGAATAAATATTGGTATTCCGAATGATATAAAATCACTCAGTTTTGGTGAAAAAACTGAAGCCAAGTAATAATTGAAAGATGAATGATCGTTACGATATTATAAATGGTAACTACAGTTTCAAAATTTAAATTCTTCACTTATAACGTTTTGTGATCACGTAATTAAAATTCGGATTTTGCGGGATTTTATTTTTAAAAAAAATAAAAAATTACGGATTAAATGATGCGTGTGTAGGCATGAAAACCGGGATCAAATTGGCCACTTTTTATTAACTTTGGGTGATATACACGCACTACTAAGTATACCTAGGATCTTAATATTATTTGCCGTCTATTTACCACCTAATTAAACAAGAAAGAAAAAAAAGACACATGCATGCAGTTTGGTTTAGACGAAAACATAGCGAAAAGGGGATTTTAATTGACTGTAACAAAAAATATTTAAGTACCCTTGTGTTTCCTTACAGTACTTAATACTCTTGATTCCTCCTACTAACTAACTACATAGTCGTTGACCATTATATATGTTTTCGATCTTTTCATTAAAGAGAGAATATTATTTCCAAGTTGCTTCCTTAGTAGGTGATTCAGTAGAGATTTTTATGGAAGACTTACATAGTAGGTCATATATGTTAGATTGGAAAAAAAAAATGCTCAATTTGCAAGATTTATGGCGTGAATGAGAAATTTTGAACTGGTTTTCTACCATTACGTATAACTTAACGGAATATTCAGTTGAAAACTAACGACTGGACTCTAAAATTTCCATATATATATAAAGAGAGAATTTTGCCTCCTAAAAACGGCGTAGCCATAGTGATCCTCGTTATACATTTTTGCAAACTTTTTCCCTAATGATACACAACCCTACTCGAATAATCGAGGTTGAAGAAGAGAAACTAAATGATGAAGAAGATCTCTTTTTCTTGCATTTGAATATTTTTCCAAATTGCATGCTAGCTTATATTAGCAAGAAATTTTCGAATAGGAGTCTGAAAGTTGTAATAATGAAATTAAGCCGATGTACATTTTGGAATAAGATTAATTAGAAGATTCATGGTACAACAAATCTGACATGGTTGTGGTTGTCTCATAAATGGTTAATTATGCATTTCCACGATGGATCTTTGACTTAAATAAATGCCAGAAAAAAGGAAAAGAATTTTTTTTTTATGGTCATGAAAATATGTGCCGAAAATAATTTTCCGTGTTAGTAACTGTAATTTAAAAACGGATTTGCATTTTCTGTTTTTATTTTTTTTTATTTTAAAAATACTAGAAATTTGAAAAAGTCATTTCGCTGAAAATAAAAATAGATAAATTGAGCTAAAAAGTAAAATGGAAATTCTAAATCCGTTGTTGTCATGACCAAAAAACAGAAAATGGTTTTCCATTTCTTTGTTGTCAGTTTGTTAGCTCCATTATTGGTCTGAGCCTGTCTAACTGTTGGTGACACTGTTGTGGCAGGCTTTAATCATAAAAATAAAAGTTTAAAATCCGTTTTTAGGTTTATATATAAATAAAAATAAACACTATTCACAGATCTTGAAAGTTTTGAACGGGAAAAAAAAAATGAAGATCCAGCCAGTTTGAATCTTTTTTTTATTTTTGTCACATTATTGTTATCATCAAGGTTAGTAATGTGTTGATATTATTTTTTTCCTTTAATCGTATTTAATATTGCATTAAATTATTTAATTATTGTGTTTATTATTTTTTAATTAGATTATTCAGTTTAAAAATATTGAATTTAGTAGGATCGTGTTTCTTTGGATAGAAATATTTGTTGCTAATTAAATTAATTTAGTAGGAATTATTATATTTATGACAGGAAAAATGGCATAGAATGGTCCATATTTTATTAATGTGTACTGAAAAAATAAATATGTCGTAGAGGATAGCACGATCAGAAGATTTGATAACAGGCCAGATGCGACATTAGTTATTGAGTACAGGCTGTCGTATTCTGAGTTTTTTGGCAGAATTTGTGATAAGGCGTGTTGGGATAGAAATTATGTAAATATGAGAATTACTTTGTTGTTTGAAAATAACAGTGTAAGACGAAGCGAAACAATTACGGACGACTCTTCGGTGGAAATTATTTATTACTTTTCAGGTTCATTATATTTGGAGTTGTATGTTGAAAATGAAGACACAGTGCATGCCCAAAATTTGTTAGATCTTTATGGACAAAAACAGGAGGATACATTTGGGTCGCAACAGCAATACTGGATGAATAATTCTCAACAACATGCAGAAGCAGGGCCTAGCAAGAGCAACGGCGATAGATACGTTGCTGAGGCACAAGGCGGGGGTCAACATGATGACTTTGATTCATGAGATGAGGATGATGCATCAGACGGGACTTATGTAGAAAGCAAAGAAGAAATTGACTATCAAACTAATGTATCGGCCGAAACTGACTTAAAAAAAGAACAACAAGAAGCAGAAGTAAAGGCAAAAGAAGTGCAGAAGATTGTCACTTCTGATTTAGGTCAGCATGTATATTTAGACATTGATTATTATAAAAAAGAGTATAGTGGATCGAGATGAATTTGAAGTTAAGATGTGGAAAGGTAATGAGAAAATCTTGATTGGAATACATGTTTCAATAACAGGGATGAAGTTGAGACAACTATCAAGAACTAGAACATACATTACAACAGACAATATTTATGTGACGGTTTCTGGCAGTAAGTCTCCTTCCTAGGCAAAAAGCCACCATTATTTTAATACTTTCCCAAATTCTTGCACAAACATTCAACCTAAAAGAAAATCCAATCATGATTATTTGATTAGTAATCATGTTTTTGGATCCAAAACAAATGGGACTTTTTTCCGCCTTTTTTTTAGTATTTTTTAGGGATAATAAAAAAAATAGATGGCGTAGAATATTAAATTCGAAGAGATAAGATATACTTATAATATCGTGTTCTAATTGCAATACAACCCCATTGACTGGTTTCTTCGGAAAAAGACAATGGAAGTAGTACGTGTGCTTAGAGAGATGCATTTAAAATTTCTAATAATGACGGGTTTAATTTTATTTTCTCTGTTAGCGGCAGACAAAAACATTTACAATCTCTTCTTACTCGGCGAAACGTGATTTTAATTTTTTTAAAAAAAATAATCTCTTAAAAATCTATAAAGTCTTGGAGATATTTTCTTGTTCCCGTTGGTATTAGGGTTTTAGGTGAATTAAGTCGTTCAATGAATGAAAGAGAAACACGAGCTAAGACGTCAACTGCAAAATCGAAGAAGAAAAAGAGGTCCCACGAAATCTCTCCAATATGAATTCATCTTACCGGCATTATGATACCTCGGATTCCCTCAAACTCCGAAATCACTTAGGGCTGTTCTTTTGAAGAAAACCGACCCGAACCAAACCGAACCGTTACTTTAGTTCGGTTCGAAAATGGGTCAATTTTTTTTAGATCACAAATGGTTTCGGTTCGATTCGGTTCAGGTCTAAACCGAATTAGCCTGAAATGAACCATTTTGCTAATGATGACGTCATCAAAAGTGACGATGACGTCATTACGCCGGACACGGTCACCAGTCGCCGGGAAAAATAGATTTCCGATAAATTCGCCGGAATTTTGGCCGGAAGTTGTCGCCGACGACGACCGGTGGCTGGTGGTCAAAGGTGGTAGCGACAATCAACGACAACATTATTAAAATATAATTATTTATTTTTTGATTTTGGATTTTTTCGATTCAATTTGGATATTCTTTTGATCCGAACCCATCCGAACCGTTCCAACTTTTAGAATCTTCAACTCGAACCGATCCAAACCGAAATTAGAATTTCGATTCGGTTTGAGTTCGGTTCAGTTCGGATCGTCGTGGTGCAAAAAGACCAGCCCTAAAATCACCCAAACAAAAACCAAGTTTCTTTGAAACTGGCAATTCCAATCATCTTGGAGAAAACCAAGGTGGAGAAGAATGTCAATTCCGAGTTCTCGCTGGTGCCCATCCACGTCGTATTGGGCATGATCGCCGTAGCCAAGTCCGATGGGCCGGCCCGAGACCCAATTCTCTCTTTCCTCGGGTGATTCCACTTCACTCTGCTTGTCTAGAGAGATAATGAATTGAAGTGATGACATTCCCAAAAAGAAGATTTTCGATACCATAATTAACTAATCAATGTTGTAAAACAGAAACAAAAAAAATGCATGATAAAACAAAAGCCATTTTTCTCATATTTCTTCTTACGGGATATTCAAATGGAGAAAAAAAAAAAAAAACAAGGTTGAGAAATCATAGCCAGAAAATATTCACAACTAGAATTCATTCATTTAAAGATACTCAACCAAGGATAAAAGGCATTTACACGAGATTTGGATAATGGATCCCTAGCTTGATCAAGTAAATACATGGAGACCAAAGTTCGAGTAACATTAGCTAGCTGTATGGAGCATCTCTCCCTCAACCTTCCCCCAAAAAAAAAAAAAAAAGACAGAAAAAGAAACTAAATACATGCACACACGATCCGTTCAAAAAGCCTCAAGCTTTTCATTTTTTCAGATTGCAGCCCCGTCTCATGAGATCAACTCTCCCTTTTATCATTGTTCTATTCAAAGCTGCTATTCTGAATGTGAGGTCCAGTAGATCAGCCCACTGCAAGGACATCGACAAGAAGATAGATATAGATGACGTTAGTGTGCAATATGGGCAGTATCTGAAACAGATGAAGTTAGTGTGCAATACGGGCAGTATCTGAAATTACTAATTTTATTATATCAACATCCTTAGAATCTGACATTATGACTCCAAACAACAAACTAATTTCCTACCCTCTCACAACAATTTCTTAACCTTCATTTTGTGGTTGTTTAACTTCAGTATTTGGAAGACTTCCAAAAGGAAAATTAATGATATGCAAAGTTGGTCAATGAGATAGTAAATGATATTTGGCGAAGAGCTGCAAAAAGGTAATTACTACTTCAACAAGAAGCCTAGACATTAGTTTGGCTGGAAATGGCAGAGCCGGACTACTCATACGAAAAAATAGTAAATCTTTAACTTCAAAGCTAAAGAATGTTTATGAAATCTAAGCACAAAAATTAATGAAAATAGATATAAAATGGATGTAGCCAAAAGGAAAGTGCATAATCAAGATTTTGTACGTCTATCGTAGCTAGTAATTCCAGTAAAGTTGACGTTTAATACAGGTCCCCACTGCCAAGTCTTCGGAGTTTTTACTTACCACATCAGAAAGAAATAGCTCAAGCAACATGCTTTTGCATATATAAGTATGAGCAGGTGTGACTATGCAAAAGAAAGCAAGTAACAGCACAATTAAGTTTTCTAGAAAAAGGGTTCCGCTTCAGCTTCAAGGCGGAACTGTTTATCTTTTGTTGGCTTTGCTCCTTCACCGTAAATGATTGATACTAGAGGTTGAAATAGGACAAAAGATGGAGCGGAAGAAATGAAATGTGGAGCTCGCGCAACAGGGTGCAATCACAAGAGCAGGAAATCGAATGTTTAATCCATGATTTCATGTGCAAACACAAGGATACTCAAATGTAATGTATGCAAGTCCTCAACCAACTCAGTTCCATACTTAGTGTTAAATCTTCAGGTAAAGCAATCAACTCCCTGATCACAAGGCTGGCTGAGAGAAAATCAAGTCCATAAATGATTTGGTTACATTCTCTGTATCTTTAGGTAATGTTTCATGGCACTATTGTTTAACTACCGATTGTCTTATCCCCTTTCAGATGCACAACCTAGGTTAGTTATCAGGAGTTTGCTGGATGTTGCCTTGTGTTACAATGCCATGAGATTACATGACTGTATTTTGTTCGCACCAGCAAGTTATAGGAACAAGGGATATGACGATTTAATCCTCACATAAATTAGGGAAGAGCAACTATATTTCTTCTCTTGTTCACAAACTCCTATTATCAACTACCTAATAGAGATCAGTTTAATTTCAATTATTGCTTTTTCACCTCCTAATAGTCTAGGATAGCCTATATAATTGTACACATTACACCTTGTGGAGCTACAACAGCGCTCAAAACCTCTTTAAAGTCCATGCCTTCTTCTAGAATGTATATAGAATGTAAATCACCTATCACTAATAGGTTAGTGTCTCTTGACCTCTCACCTCCAAAGTTATGGGTCTGTTAGGCAATTAAGTTAAACTGCATAAAATAAATTAACTAGAATTTTCTAGGTACATCCCAGTGACAAGGGGCCAGGATATGAGCAAAAATCTTCAAGCCATATTGAAAAAGCCAAATAACCCACACCATAAGAGATACACAAGACAGAAAGATAGTCCCAACATCAAATGATAAACCATAATGATTAATTACTGTAGAGTAAATCATACCTGATCAGCACAAACACGCATTGTAAAACCCCTGCAACTCCTGTCCATGAAGATGGCCCAGTCGTCACAAGGGAATCTTGTATTAATAACCCCACTGAGGCTGCCAAAGAGACAAAAGAAACAACATATGCAATGAACAGCCAGAGCTTCAACCTGCCAAAAAACCATTGACAAAGTTGCAATCACAATGATATCCGAGAGATCAAAGCAAACATACAGAGTAAACACAGTATCTTAAAAATGTATCAGGTCTAACAATAGGGCCAAACCCAAATATATCTTCCTTGTGGGAAGTATGCTTGGAAATCCTACTTTTAACCTTTGTCGTCTGGACTAGAAAGCTAACAAGAACAGGACAGGACCAAGAAAAACTAACACCTGCCAGTGATCGCAATATCACCAGAATCCCTCTAACACAAATATAAAGCTTTTTGCAGCTAATTAATAATGAAGGGGAAGCAATCCTTGAGAATTTTATATCACTCTTGTCATCAAATCCAACAAATGGGAAAATCTTAATGCTTCACAAATTCAAATCTCAACCAAAATAAAGGTGAAAGAAAGGCTAACTAAAAATGGTTCCAAAGGCCAAATCGAAGCCTTATACCACCATGTGGTGTCCAACAATTTTAATCTAAGATTCACATGTATTTTTGTACAGAGAAAAGAAGACTTCATAAACTTTTACTATTCATCTTGCAATTTCAACAATTTCAGTGGAAGTAGCATTTGTAGCATCTATAGGACAAAGGCAGAAATGGACCCAAAACCAACCACCTTCAATCAAACCTTAAATGAAGAATTTCGCATTGTTTGAGGTATTAACTCCAACCCATATCTGCTTCATACATCAAGTGGGAGGTTGAAAATCAGGTGTAGTTACTGAAGAAGAAGATGGTTAAAACTTGTTCCGCACTAATTGTCTTTGAATTTAGAAATTCAACTTACACAGCATTCTGTTTTGCTATATCAAACTTCAAAGACAATATTATCTAGCTAAAATTAAAGATCAATTAAGTGACTCATGCTCGAATGGTTCATGACTGAAACATATAGCCAGAGGGGTGGTGGTTGACAGTGTTGCAAATGATGTGAGCAAATTTTATTAAGTTTCTAGAATAGTCCTTGAAGCACAAGGAAACCCGGAGTTATTCTGCGATGGGGGCAATTTTCTCTCAATTTCTCATCCAAAAGCACAAAAGGGTACCTGCAATATTCCTTAGAAATTGACAGCACCTTCAGAACTCCAAACATCTCAATCAAACCACAAAAAGGATATGCCAACAATAAACCCTAAAAAATGACCTCAAAACATCTGAATCCATCAAGATACTCTAATAACTTCGAGTTGAAATTTTACGAATAGCAAGATGACAAAAAGGTTGGAACATCAAATCAGAGGCATATATGCATTAATACAGGAACCAAGACAGCAAATAAAGAGGATTGCACAATTCATCTACTTGATTATACGGAAGAAAGTTAAGAGTGGATTACCTCCATTCACCTTCTTCATAAGGAGAATAATCAATGTCTTCTTTTCTAACACAATTGAACATCAACGCAGCCAAAGATGCAAAAATTCCTAAACAAAAAAAAAACAAAAAAATTAAAATGCACGGAAAATTGAAATCCAGCAGTTATTCATCCATAATCAAGGAGCAAAAAAAACTTGTGGAGAAGAAAACAAAAAAGAAGAAATTAAAGTCAACGAAAGCCAAACGAAGCGGGGGGAACCGAAACGGGAACCTGGGAGGTAGTGAAGAAAGGAGACCTTGACAGCGCTGCAAACGACGGCGTCCACCCAAAACCACCACCCGGCCCCGAACACCGCTCCTGAGACTCCCGGTCCGAATATGGCCCACAGCTCCGCCAAATCCATCGGAAAATCCAACCCCAAATTACTTGCGAATTACTTGGATTTTTTTGGGACTGATAACCAAGGGCCCTTGTGTGATTATAAAATAGAAGTCAGTCTTATTCTTATAGATCTTTCTTCACACACTGACAGAGTTGGCTGTGATTTATTATTGCGTGTGGGTTTTTGCCACTTACGTTTTTTTTTTAAGTTGCATCATCTCTTTTTCCATCACCTTTTTCTTGTCCAGAATGATTAGTAGAAAATTGTCGTTTGGTCACTAATCTTTCATTCACTCGGCAGTTTAGGCACCTCAATTCCCACAACTTTATAGTAACAAAAAAAAAAAAATTAGTTGTTCTTCAAATTGTATAGACAAAATTTAATAATAATTACTTCTACACACACCATCATTCCAAGCTAGTATGATTTGATAATTTTAATTAGTGAGTTTGATATTGTTATTAATAAAATAAAAACATACTAATAATTTCTATGCATGACGGTTGAAATTATTGAAACTTTATAATCATATTACACTATGATACTCCCTTCAGTCCTTATAAGGTATTTTGATTTGTCCTAAGTTTCATATAGGATATTTTTTTAATTCAAATCAAAAGATTTGCTAATAATAAAGAGAATACATGAGTGTGAAAATATATTTTTAAAATTTTTTTATTATTAAAAAGATATCTTAGGTGCAAAATTAAACTGTCTTATAATAAGGACAATAGGAAGTATTATCCATTCATCTTTTATCTTGACACAATGTTTATCTTACGTCACCAACCCATCATGGCATCATCGACCATAAAACAATATTTGAATAATAACACTCGCATCATAAATCACAAGTTTTGAAATGATGATACAAAATTCTCTGTGTGTACCCTAGCTCTTATAAGTCTAACTCAAAATCTTTTACTATATATTATATTTATGGCAGTCTTTTACTAACTGTTTCAAATCTAAACATCATTCTAAGAAACATGTATTTCTCCATCAATTCTATCACCATTATAGAACTATATTGGCCTCATAAATCCCCCACAGAAGATTTTAATTCTAGAAATAGAACTGATCTATACATGGATTACGACATTACGTACGTACGTAAGCAAAATTTTAAGCATGAGAAGGAATAGTTAGAGATCGCTCAGTATATAACAAACTTTTGCATATTGTATGCTTCCATCCCAAAATGATCTTCAAGGAGCAATCAAGTGTGCAGACAAAGTTTACCAATGTCGCAACCTCCAACGATCTCATATGTTAACAAGACACTTATTTTAGAACAAAAGAAATTATCTAGTGTCAGACAAATTGTGTCGGTATACGATAACTAAACTTCAGCAGAAAAAGCAAGAACATTAATATAGACACAAAAAGGAGCTTCAAAACTAACTTGACATGGGATAATCGGGAAGGGAAAGGGGGAAACGTAAACACATGATTGCAGAACCATTTTTGTGTGTCGGTATACTCTTTCAGAAACATTTTCTGACACAGGTTTCTCACGATGACACCTCAGATTACAACGCAAGGAAAAAAATAATGTCCAATGGTTGGTAACAGCAATCTGAAAACTAATTGCAGAATACTCATTCCTCCCTTTGAATAACAAAGATAGAAGAAAAACAGAACAGTTTACCTCATTTTATCATCTGCATTACACTGATTGGCTTCTACCTAGTCTGTTCTAACAGTCGTACAAAATGCTTACCCAAAAAGAAAAAGATCCTCTGTTTCTTTACCTCTGTATTCGAATTCACTACAATCTCTTCTCTAAATGGTTGGTACTTATATTGATTGAGAAAAGGTCTTCAGTGGATGTTGTAGAAACAGTAAATGGCGCATCCACAGGAAAATTTTCCGACTCTGTGTCGTCCGAGTTTGCTAACAGCAGCGGGTGAGTTGTCATTTCCAGGTCCTTAATCCTGTGACTCTTGTTGCTCTTTCTTGATGCGCTCAGTACTTCACTCAGCATCCTTCCTCGGCCTTCCAACATACTAACCACAGACGACATACTCGGCCGATCAGAGGGTTTAATGCTCGTACAAAGAAGGGCAATATGTATTGTCCTCATAACCTCCTCATCTTTATAGTTTGATCCTAGTCTTGGATCTATTAGATCCATTAGTTTCCCTTCCTCCTTCAACCGATTAGCCTGCAAAACCAGCATTGTCTTGTAAGTAGAAGTGGAAAGTTACTCGCACTTCAGCGCAGCTCAAATGCAAGTACATTGTTGCTGGCAGTTAAGGTCTGTGAGGTCCATAAGCAAAAAGTGACGTCGAAAAACTAATGAGTAAGTGGTTGAGGAGCCAAGATAAAATGCATAAAGTTTAAGGTCAAGATGAAATTTTTCTGGTTTTCTTCCTCATAAATTGCATCACTGTTGTCGTTTACAATGAAAATCAAACCATTTTAAGGTGTAAATTAATTAATGGTGGACTCTCTTCTTCGAATAGATGGCACACAAGCTTGTTCGCATGGCAAATCTAATTCAACCTGAAAGCAGAAACCAGAATGGCATTAGTGTAATCATAAGAGAAGTAATGAGTGTACCCAGTCAGTAAGGGTAAAACAATCCTCTGTTGGTTTGATACTAGTGGTACTACGTCCATTCACAATTTCCAAGAGGACAACTCCAAAGCTATAAACGTCGGCCTTGTCAGTCAAGTGTCCCTTCCACGCATATTCAGGAGCCATGTAACCCCTAAATGTTAGAATTATGGAATCAGAACTTATATCTACATCAGCATTGCAGCAAAGTATCAAATCAGAACTTCGAAACTGGAACCGGATATCAAGCATGCAGCAATTTCACAGAAAGAGGAAATATTGTACCGGACTTACATTGTTCCAGCAATGCGAGTACTTATATGGGTATTTTCTTCTTCATCAAGCTTAGCCAGGCCAAAGTCGGATATTTTGGGATTTAGATCCTTATCGAGAAGTACATTTGAGGCCTTTATATCTCTGTGAACAATCTTTAACCTTGATTCCTCATGGAGATAAGCCAGACCTCTTGCTATACCAACAGAGATTTTGTGCCTCTTTGGCCAATCTAGTTCCAACTTATCAGCTTCAGGTCCAGAAAACATTTTATGTACATCAAAGGAATGCTCAGGAATTATGGTAACTCCGACAAACTTGAACAAAAGCATGCAATTTCATTTACCAAACAAAGCACTGGAAAGGCTATTATTCTCCATATACTCATATACAAGCAATAAATGGTTCCCCTCAATGCAGCATCCATAGAGCTTCACAAGGTTAGGATGTTGTAGAGCTGAAATCATGCCTATTTCATTTACAAACTCACGGTTTCCTTGCTTTGATTTGGAAGACAGCTGCTTCACAGCGATAATAGTTCCGTCTCTAAGATGGCCCTTCAATGACCAGTGGATGTCAGATTACAAGGAGAAAATGAGATGAATACATCAAACTAAAAGGACTACAGTAATTAACCATTTGTGAGAATCACCTTGTACACAGAACCAAAACCACCTTCTCCAAGCTTGTTAACTTCATCAAAGTTATTTGTAGCAGCTTTAATTTGTCTGAGGGTGAACAATCCTGTGTGCAAGTCTATTCCCTTTAGGTCTGCCATGAAAGGGCTCAAAGGAGTAAGTCTCGAGATTTATACAGTACTATTCGGGGTGGAGAGGAAGCTTCACAAGCCTAAACTTGAAAGCGAATAGGCGTATGGAAACTTATGGATCATCTTCTTTAAGATTTATTTGCAAAGCTTTGGAAACTTATGAACAAAGGTATTAAACTGAAGAAAGAACACGACCACTGATGTTAGTTGACATTGTCTGCGAATAAATTGAAGGCTTACCATTTTCCATTGAATCCTTCCACGGGAGGCAGCCATTCCACCAGAGAATAACCAGAACGAAAGAAATTAGAAACAAAGCGGCAATCACAATCCCAACTACGGCACCAGCAGGCAGGCTATTTCCATCTGATGGTGGTGCAGAATCTGGATATGTACATTACCACACAGACCGTGGAGAAGTTTTCAAACCATTGTCTCTCCAGAAAATTCAATGAAGTACAATATGTTGTGTCAGTTCTTATGTTGTCTTAAAACAATTTCAGGAAAGAAAATAATTCTCGAAGTTGAATTTGTGAACTAAAACATCATCTAAATTATAATAATCAATGTCCGATGGCGTAGTTTCTTCAGTAGAGTAGCAATGTACTGAAAAAGGAATGTGGACACAACGACGTGAGGTTTTACCATTTTCCTGCTAAAGATCCATAAGGTACGAAGGTTACCTGATATCACAGAGATTGCAGAAATGAGAGGACCATACACCCCCCTAAATGGAATAACAGTAGTCCCTTTTCCGGCCCAGAAGAAACGAATCTCTAAAGTATTGTCATTTACCACAGTAGCAAATCTCCTAACAATGGGTATATTTACTCCACCTGCTTCAGTCTCAATATTGAAGTCTTTTTTCACCAGCTTCCCCTGAATAATATGAGAATGCAGTCGTATTAGAAAGAATTAAAAGTCTCTATTTACCCAAACATCGTATTTTTAAGCATTCAATAGCTACAAGAATTCTCTAAATTTTTCACTAGCAAAACTTGTACTGTGAAAGAATATACACCTGAATATATATATCAAAGAATCGCCTCCCAAGGCTAGCATATGTTCTGTCACCAGAAAATATGATTTCCGCAAAATGAAGGGTTACTGTGTAGTTCCCATTTGCCAAACAGTAGCCATAATATGTCAATGAAAGCGGGGACATTCGTGCAGTTCTGTACAAATCAATGTTGTTCCCTGATATAGTTGAGCTGTTCCAGAGATATGTATCACTTGGGAGAGCATTGTCCAAGAATTCTCCCGTACTGCTAATTGCCCAGTTATTTTTGCCCTTAATGAAGTTGGAAGGTCCACCTGACTGGATATCTTCGTCATAGGTTGTACCATTTTCAAGTCTCACTTGACTTCCACCACAATTTATATGGATAGAGTAAACATCTACAATGAAGCCATAAAGACAGGAAATAAATCTATTCATTTAAAAGGCAAACTCGATAGCATATACTCTCTCTGTCCTAAAATGACTATCCAGTTTGAAAATCCAAACCCTACAATCATCATTTCAGTCGGAGGGAGTAGTAACCCTTTGGTATTAAACATATTTCTTTTGTAAAGTCAATAATAAACAAATGGAAGTGGAATTCAGAAGATAAGTACCCAAATGATTAGTGGCGTAAAGAAGTTCAAGTTTGTATAATTTTCTAGAATCATTCTGTTATATTTATATGTGCATTGATAGTCCTG